GAGCATTTGACTGCAGATCAAGAGGTCCCCGGTTCAAATCCGGGTGCCCCCTCGTGTACTCACTTTTAACCCTTACCCACCCCAACATGATAGGTAGCAAATGTTTAGTCATTTGTCAGTGTTTTCTGGGAATACAGAAATTGGCCAACTACAGGCACCTGTGGATTTCACATTCTAAAAAGGTCAACACCCAAACAAAGGAATTTCCGGTCCACCCTATGGGTTCCAATCTGTGTTTGGGAGTTGAGTCCTTCCATGTCTGCCTGTGAGACCGTTTCCACATAGGGAAAAAGAATTTACTTCTCACTTCCTTACCTGTTTCATTCTTGTCCACTCATGCATACAGCTTTCCAGAGGCTACATGATGTCACAACAGACTAAATGTGAAAACATGAAAATCCAGATGTCTTTCATTTAGCCAAATATCAAAGAAATTCCTAAAAGAATGTAAAACCAAGCCACTCTTATTATTTTTAAAATTTAAGTACAATTCTTTTTAAGAATATGTATTTTCTCAACATTCAAAAAATGAAAAGCTGGCATCCGATGGCAAATAGATGGGGAAACAATGGAAACAGTGACAGACTTTATTTTCTTGGGCTCCAAAATCACTGCAGATGGTGACTGCAGCCATGAAATTAAAAGATGCTTGCTCCTTGGAAGAAAAGCTATGACAAACCTAGACAGCATATTCGAAAGCAGAGACATTACTTTTCCAACAAAGTTCTGTCTAGACAAAGCCATAGTTTTCCAGTAGTCATGTATGAGAGTTGGACTATAGTGAAAACTGAGCACGGAAGAAATGATGCTTTTGAACTGTGGTGTTGGAAAAGACTCTTGAGAGTCCCTTGGACTGCAAGGAGATCCAACCAGGCAGTCCTAAAGGAAATCAGTCCTGAATATTCATTGGAAGGACTGATGCTGAAGCTGAAGCTACAAATATTTTGGCTACCTGACTCTTTGGAAAAGACCCTGATGCTGGGAAAGATTGAAGGAGGAGAAGGGGATGACAGAGGATGAGATGGTTGGATGGTATCACGGACGCAATGGACATGAGTTTGAGCAGGCTCCAGGAGTTGGTGATAGACAGGGAAGCCTGGCATGCTGCAGTCCATGGGGTCACAAAGAGTCAGACATGACTGAACGACTGAACTTAACTGATTTTAGCAGGTAACGGATCATCTTAAATACTTCACAATTTAAATTTCTAAGTCTGGTGACTGTCAGTAAATAGATACAACTATACAAACAAAACCATTTTGGAATCCTCAATAATTTAAGAATGTAAAGGATATTCAGATGAAAACATTTGAGAACCAATGCTCTAAGTAACCAACCAAGACAACTAATACAGGCAGAAAAGCAAAATTTCTGGAAAAATTGATTTTGGTTTTGGATGTGTCAGTCTGAAGTGCCTGTGGAGGTGTCCCTATCACTGTTTCCATATATTAGCTAGAACTAAGCAGAAATGTCTTAGGCTGAGATACAGAATTGGGAGTTATTAGCTTATTGATAGTAACGGAAGGTACTGGGTGGTGTGATCACTCAGAGAAATATACTGAGAAGGGACAATGAGTAAGGAGAGAGCAATATAACATAGTGGCTTAGAGCCTGTACTTTGGAATCAGTCAAACTCAGGATACCATTCTACCTCTACTTTTCATGATTTGTTTGATCTTGGACAAAGGCACTTAACCTTTCTATTTCCTAGTTTCCTTATTTGTAAAATGAGATTAATAATACCTAAGTCACAGGGTTGTGGGGAGGATTCAAGTCACATTCCTATAAAGTGCTTAATTCAATGATTAGTATTTAAGAACATTCCATAAATAGTAACTTCTATTATTACTAGCATTTTGGAAACCGTAGGTGAAGAGTGTTAAGAAGATGGGACTGGTGCCAGTGTGCAACAATGTGAGGTCAAGTAAGATAAAGACTGAGTGTCCTTGGATTGTGGAAAGAGTAGGTCACGGTGAACTTTCTAGTATAATTTATCAGTATACATAATTTCAAGTATAATTTCAGTCATATAGTGAGGAAATAAACTAGATTACAGGGGTCCAAGGAATGTGTGCACCCAGGAAGTAAAGAAGTAGAGACAGATCATTTCACAGCTCTGATTTTCATGGACCAGTGAAACTACCCCAGAGATGGCAGTGTTGAGGTGGTGAAAAGTTGACATAGGATTTAAAGGAACATTTTTAACAACAAAAAAGATGAAGGAAGATAATCCTTTAAATTGAGCAAATGTAGCTTTATGAGAAACACAGTATTTTCCAAATATTTCTAATTTTGCCATAGAAGAATGAAAATTTCCTTCATGCCAGGATGCTGACATATGGACACCATTCAGGTAGACTTCATTTGTTCAGCAATCATTTGCCACGTATTTATTGAGCCAGGCCCTATGCTGAATGCTGAGGATATACTGTTGAACAACAACAACAACAAAGAACTCAGCTTTTACTGAACATATAGACTGACTGTTGGGGGTGAGAAGTCATTCAGCAAAGTCATGAAATACATATTTAATAACTGAAATAAATAGTATGATGGAAAAATACTTCTTAAGAGAAGTCAGAGTAAAATTTCTCTAAGAAAAAGATATTTAAGCTGAGATCTGTAACAATCAATAGATGTAAAAATGTAACACTTTACATCATGTAAAAATACACGATGAGGGTAGACAGGGTAGAGTATGCCAAGCATGTGTGAGGCCAATGGCTATTCAGGAGCATATATGGTATCTGGGACAAAAAGGCCAACTCTGCTGAGCAAGAGAGAGCATGGTGCAAGACGAGGTTAAGAAGTAGGACAATGCTAGATCAGGGCCCAGTAGGCCATGATATGGATTTTAAGTTTGATTCTAAGAGTACAGAAACCATTGGAGGATTTTCAGGAGAGTAACATAGTAATAGTTACATTTCTGAAAAATTATTTCTGGCCATTTTATGAAGGCTGAGTGGATGGATGAGGGAGAATAGAGAACAAGAGACCTATTACAGAGCTTCAGAAGTAGTTTAGGCAAGAGTTGGAGGTGGTTTGGACCAGAGTGTTAGTAGAGGAGATAGAGAGAAGTGGACAGACTTGAGAGACACTGAGAAGGCAGACTGAAAAGAACTTGGGCAGGAATCTCAGAGGCACACCTAGATGGATGGTAGTTCCATTTATCAAGAGAAGCAAAAATGATAATGAAATCATATATTCAGAAACACATGAAATTCAGCTAAGTGGAGAGAGAGAAACTGGCAGGAGCAAGTGAAATATTTAAGAGTGAGAAGGACGATTTATAAATATATAGATTTAGAGACCTCTTAAAGTTGAAGTGCTCCAGAGGTTAGCCCATGGTCTCTTTTATTTACCCTTTCTTCTTTTTTTAACTCATCCACTATCGTGGCTTTACTTATATGCTGACAACTCCCAAATTTCTATCTCCCTCTTTCTGGAACTCCAGGCTAATACGTCTAACCTGCTACTGAAATCTCTTTTTCACATCTAACTCAACATCTCCAAAACTGAACTGCCATTCTTAACCCCAAAGCTGTTCCTCTCACAGATTTCCCCATCTCAGTTGATGGCAACTTGCTCAGACCTAAAGCTTTGGAAACATTTTCTTCTCTTACTCTTTATCCCACATTTTGTTGGCTCTATCTCCAAACATATCCATTATCTGATCACATCACAGTACTTCTGCTGCTACCACTCTGGTCCAAACCACCACCATTTCTCTTCTGAGTTACTGCAAGAGCTTCCCAAATAGGTCTTCTTACTTGTATCTTTGTGTTCCCTCCCACAGTGTAGTCCCAATTAGAGTGATCCTTCTGACTTATTAGTCAGATCATGTCTCTCCTCTGCTTATGACTTAATGATTCCCAATTCAGTCTGTAAATGTCAAAGTCCACAGTGATGTACAGAGCCCTCCATGATCCAGTTCCATTACTTATGACCTTCATTCTATTGCTTTTCCCTTCACTTACTCTGTCCAGTCATTCCTGGCTTCCTTGCTGGTCCTCACATTGTTCAGGCACAATCCCACTTTAGAGTCTTTCATTGGTTGATGACTCTGGACTGCTCTTCTTAGACAATCAAATTGCTAACTCTCTCATCTCAAAATCTTAGCCCTAATGTCAACTTCTTCCATAAAGCCCACACTGACCACTCTATTTTCAACTGCAATTTGCCTCTCTTCCCACTTTCAGATCCCTCTTACTTTTTTCTACTTTTGTTTTCAAAGTATTTATCCCCATCTAACATACTATATGCTGACATTATTACATCTGTGGTTCAGTATCTAATACCCACCTTCATCACCACCCTGACTGGATGTAACTTTCATAAGGGCAAGAATGATCTGTTTTGTTCTGATGTAGTCTAGTCTATGCCCAGGACAGAATCTGGAATCAGTAGTCTTTTAATATTTGAATTAATGCATCGACAGCGAGAAGCCTGAAGAATGGGAAAGCCTGAGGCAGTGAAAAGAATAATGAATATAGCAAGATATAGAAAATACAAGTGGGTTTGGGATCAAGCACACACAACATGGAATTATCTGTAGCGCTACAATGGCATCTCTCAGTTGTATCACATCCAAATGAAACCATTTCCAGATCTCTAACCCTTGCCCTCAACGCCCGTGCGTTCTCTGGAGGCCATTTAAGCACTTCTGAATCTCTAGTGTCCATCTAAGTCCCTGGCACATAGTGTTCAGAAGAGGTTGTCCGATCAATTAAACCAATGTTTCTGTGTCCCAACTACTTCTGAGCTCCTATTAAGTGTACTCCGGGGATCATTCATTCTGCAGCCCTCAACCCCTACACCGCTCACTTTGTAACGCAAGCTCTAGGCGACGTCCCGCGTTTATGACGTAATAAGACAGCGCCCTAGGGAAAGAGGCGGATTGGGCAAACTCCGGTCACGTGCCCGGATTGGGCGGGGCCTGGGAGTTCATATCCCAGGGTCCTTTGTCTTTACTTCCTTTTTGTCCCTTTCCGGCCTTCAAGATGTCGAAGCGAGGTGAGGTTTTGACTTTGGAAGATCTTTCGCCATCTGTTGCGCTCTGGCTGCTGGCCTTGCCGGTAGCAGCGGCCATGGGCAGCTGGGGCGATTTGCTTTGCTCGACGCCCGAGAGGGCTTGGAGGGCTCATCGGGAGAGCACCGGGAGAGCCCCTGAAAGTGACGGGGCCGGCCGGAGGGTTGAGTTGGCAGGATCCAGTCGTGACTCTAGATCGAACCCTGCGGATTCACTCCGCGTCACCGCTGCGGTAAGGGATTGGAGTTGGACTGACTTAAGCCCCAGTGTGGGCGGCTTGTGCAGTCTCCCACCCTTCAGGAAGAATTGCGTGGTACAAAAGTTGAATCGAGAATTGAGTCTTCCAGGCCAGTTAATTTCAGGCTAATGTGGTGGTAGTGAGGACTTGGCTATTGGCCTTGAGAACTGGGTGGCACATGGGGCAGGGTATGTGTGGATTCAATGTGCCGTTTCCCAAAGCATACGCGAGTGAACTTCTACTTTAAGCGTATGAAAGGGACTCCGAACCATGTCTGAGCAGTGACCTCTCCTGTTTCCCTTCCTATTTACAGGACGTGGTGGGTCCTCTGGTGCGAAATTCCGGATTTCCTTGGGTCTTCCGGTTGGAGCCGTGATCAACTGTGCTGACAACACAGGTGAGACCTTCGGCTGCTCCCTGCCATACTCACCCTTTACCATCTGAGCCACCAGGGAAGTCCATACTCACCCTTTTAAAAGCACTCAGTGGGCCTTTTGCTGATGACCCGCTGAGCCGTCAAGAAAGGGCAGAGTGAAAACACCGCTTTTGGGTGAAGCGGCAGCATGTTGTGTTGTTTTGCTTCAATCGGTGGTGTGACAAGGTGTTCCACCTAGTGGGGACTAAGTGCTTAGGAGTGTGACTGGAGGAGGTGATGTTGGAAAATCGCAGCACTGCCTGATTGGCCCTCAAAACTAGTCTCCATTTTTGTTTACATTGTTTTATAGGAGCCAAAAATCTGTATATCATCTCTGTGAAGGGGATCAAGGGACGATTGAATAGACTTCCTGCTGCTGGTGTGGGTGACATGGTGATGGCTACAGTCAAGAAAGGCAAACCAGAGCTCAGAAAGAAGGGTGAGTAGAGAGATGGAATTCTCCTTTTGGTCTGTGGACAGTTGAGAGATTTCTCTCATTATTGGAAAAATGGAACAGTAATTTTGCCATTCTCAGAGCCTCTTAAAAGCTTGATCTAGTTAACAATAGTTAACAGACTTGTCTTGTCTCACATACCTACACCTTAAGTAGAAGCAAGAGCCCTGTCCTACTGGGATTTACAGTCTATCCACATGATTCCTTCCCAAGCTGTCTCCTTTTAGTTCTTAGTTTTTTGTTCCAACTTATATTCTTTCCTTTGTGCCTCAGATTCTTGCTGTGTCCCCTATCTGGAATATTCTAATTCTAGTCGTCTTCTGCTCCTTACCCCCTTCTCTCCCCTTTCCCAAATAACCTTGAATCCAGGTGGTGATTTTTGTATGTGACATTTAAGGTTGTGTCTTCTGTGAGAGCAGATAATTGTTGCTGATTCCTTGGCTACAGGCCAGCTACAGGTGAGAGGGCAGCCTTAAGACCTGAATCACCCCAGGCAAGTTTCTTTTCAGGAACCAATTTGAAAGGGAGTAGTCACACATAGATGAGATTAACTCAGGGTTGTGACTGAACAAAAGTTGAGTATGGTTACTTCTAAATCTCTTCTGATAGAAACTGAAACCAGAGGCTGCTCATTGCCTAATTGTGGACCACCCCCAAAAGTTTTCCCACTACATGTATGAATTAGGGGTTGGGGCTGAGACAGTGCTGAAGTGTTTGGCTTTACAGCTTCTGATATTCAATGCACTTGACTTTCCAGCTCTGTTGATCTCCAGTATGCACTTGGGGACTTGGTAAGCAAGGAATAACCATTGCACTTAAGCACTGATAAAGCAGTGTGTTGATCAGGGTCAGCATGCAACTGGACAGGCTGTCCTCCTAGAACGTTTGCTGGGTCTGGTCTGTGGCCTGGGAAGCTGTCAGGGACGGGCAGAGCAGCTGTCCATCACTGTGGTGAGATGGCAGCAGGGCATGCTGTCTGTCTCAGTCAGTTGTGGGACAGACCAGAGAATACTTTTGTTTTAAAACTAGGTCTGACTTTCCGACTCTTGTTACTTTATTCTTTGGGCCTTGTTTCTTCTAAATGATAACTGCATGGGTTTGAACTGCACGGGTGCACTTAAACACAGATTTTTTTTCCCACTAAATATATATTACTGTACCAGACAACCTGAGGTTGGTTGAATCAGTAGATAGAGGGTCAACTAAAAGTTACAGATGGGTTTTAGACTGCACATTATAACATGCAGAAATGTGGGAAAGGACAGGACTGGAAATCCAGAATCCTGAATTCATATGACCTTATTTATTTGTTAGATTCATTTGTGAGAATTGTTAAATACATGAGGTCCAATGGAGGAGAGTCTCGGTCAGCATTACCTGTCACTCAGTGTGTTAAAAACTCAAAAGACTGTCTGTGAGCACAGTACTTGCTTCAAGGATAGCCAGGATCCCTGTCCTAAAAAAATTCTGTATTCCCAGGCTCATCTTAAAACATGGGGCTTCCCTGGTCGCTCAGTAAAGAATCTGCCTGCAGGGCAGGAGACCCCGGGTTGATATCTGGGTCAGGAAGATTCCCTGGAGAAGGAAATGGCAACCCACTCCTGTATTCTTTACCTGGAAAGTCCTGTGGACAGAGGAATCTGTTGGACTAAAGTCGGGGTCGCACAAGTCAGACACAACTTAGCGACTAAACCACCACATCTTAAATATGGAAATTTTAACTATTATCCCTAGTTTGCAAGAGGAAAGCTTAAATGTCATAAGATTGCATAACCTGTTCAAGGTCTCCAAACTACTGTCAGTCAAGATTTGAATTCAGGTCTGTCTGACTCTAGTTCTATCAAGTGCAGTCGATGCTTTGAAAAGTATTCACTTTAGAGCAGGTAAGTTTTAAAAAGTTACTTATGACCCTGGAAAGCACTTTCTCAAAAAGTTAAACCTAGAGTTAATTAAATAAGAAATACAAGTTGAATTTCTGTTACCTGACTCTTAGGCCACCAAGAGATGATCATTTTTAGTATTTTGTAGTATATCCTATTTTCCAGTGTAAGACCATTTCCTTCCCATAACTCATTCTTGCTTCACAGATGATTGTCTTGGATATAAAAAGTTACAGAAATGTATAATCATTTAAAGTGATTGTGTTCTGTGCATGTGCCATGAGATATTTAGGTTAATTCCAAGTTTGCCTAGTAAAACATGTACCTTGCAGTTAGAATGGCATAAAGTGCTAATTTTATATCAAAGTTTGTACTTGGAGGTCTTGATAGAAATGAGGATGGAATATTTATTGTGTAATGAGCCTCTCCAGTATGAGGAAAGTCCGTTTCCCAATTCTATGACATTGGGATCTTAACAGTACCTACCTCTTTGGTGAAGTAGGGAAATGTATAGAAAGTGCTTAACAAGTTTCCTGTTGGTATGTTGCTGATCTGTACTCCCAGAGTACAGATTCATGCTGGTAAGGAAATGCTTGCAGTTTGAACTTAGAAGTAAGGTCTTTCCTTAAGGGGTGATGGATATTTATTAATCTCTCACACTTGATTTTAGGAAATGAAAAAGCTAATGAGGATGCATTCTGTCCAAATGGGGAATGTTGGGAATGTAGACAAGGTGTAAACCACTTTCTCATGGTGACATTGGTACTTGACAGGTTTAATGACAGCTTTTTGTTTTTCCCCCCTCTCAGTACATCCAGCGGTGGTAATTCGACAACGAAAGTCATACCGGAGAAAAGATGGTGTGTTTCTTTATTTTGAAGATAATGCAGGGGTCATAGTAAACAATAAAGGCGAGATGAAAGGTAAGAAAGAATCCACATCTTTGTTCAGCTTTTGAGACTTGATGATTCAACTCAAAAAGTGCGCAAGGAAAGGACCCTTTAAGCTTATGTGTCGCTTCATTCTTTTATGCAGGTTCTGCCATCACAGGACCAGTTGCAAAGGAATGTGCAGACTTGTGGCCCAGGATTGCATCCAATGCTGGCAGCATTGCATGATTCTTTGGTGTATTTGTAAAAAATAAAAATTATTTGCTCCCAATGCTTGCCCTGCTGTTTGTTTCTACATGTTACTCTTGATACCACTTAATCCTTACCTAAGTTTTTTAGTTCTTAAATTACAGATGATCTATACTGTTTGGTTACAGGTTACCCCAGGTAACTGCCCTGCAGTTAGGTATTTGAGATAAGGTAGAATGTATGGTCAGATCCTGGACACTCGTGGACTTCAAGGAATGATGTGAATAGGGATAAGGTACACAGGTATATAATGTGCACTTTGCAGTTACAGGTTTTCTTTGGGTAAGTTGCTGCATGAATGCATTTATATTTGTAAAACCTAACACATGGTAGCTGTTCTCATGAAAGATGACTAAGTTGTTAATATCTACAAGTCCTTTATTTGCTATCAAAACTATTTCGATGGCATACATCTTCCAAACCCTAGTTTGAGAATAAAAGATGGTAGAATGTTAACACAGCAGGCTAATACCCTTTCACCTCGCCCAAGCCATGAGAGTTGATTTAGGTGACATTCAGGGCTTGGGAAATGACCTCTCAGCTGCTTTGGATCAGAAGTCTGGCCTAAAGATTTTGGAAGAGGATTTGTGTTCATGTATCTAGTAAAGTTGTACAATAGATCTGACTCTCCCCTACCCCATCCTCCAGACTCGTGAATTTCAGGTCTTTAATGTCACATGAAGCCCCCAGGTACTCCAGGAAACTGCCTGCCAGTACAGGAGATCTGTTTGATACCTGGGTGGGGAAGATTCCCTTGGAGGAGGAAATGGCAACCCACTCCAATATTCTTGCCTGGAAAATTCCATGGACAGAGGAGCTTGGCGAGCTACAGTCCATGGGGTTGCAAAGAGTCAAGACATGACAGTGTCGCAAACTATAGACTTCGTATAATTTCAAATTTGATTTATTAACATAGGACTTGCCTATCATAGTGTAAAAAGATTAAAACATGCCAAGTTGATACATCAGGACCAATGATTATGTACAAGTATGTGGTGGTTTAGTTGGGAAGTCTTGTGACCCCATGGACCGTATCCTGCCAGGATCTGTCCATGGGATTCTCCAGGTAAGAATACTAGAGTGGGTTGCCATTTCCTTCTCCAAGGGATCTTCCTGACCCAGGGATTGAGCCCTGGTTTCCTTCACTGCAGGCTGATTCTTTACCAACTCAGCTACCAGGGAAGCAGGTATGATGCAACCTTTTTCTAATTAATACTTGTGCTTTTGTACAATAAACAGGCTTCCCTCGTAGCTCACTGGGTAAAAATCTGCCTGCAATGCAGGAAACCCACGTTCCACCCTGGGTTGGGAAGATCCCCTGGAGAAGGAAATGGCAACCCACTCCAGTATTCTTGCCTGGAGAATCCCATGGACAGAGGAACCTGGCAAGATACAGTCCATGGGGTTACAACAGTCAGACATGACTTAGCAACAAAACAACCACCACAGTAAACTAGTAACATGAAAGAATTCCTGAATTTGTTACCTCATTTGTGAAATAATAGCACCTGTTTGTATGAGGAGCAGAGAAATTTGTATAAGGCCCTTTGTAAAGCATCTATATAAAGGGAAATTGGAGAAGTAAACTAGAAAGAAAAATCACTTTAACAATAATTAGAGAAAATGATTGTTCATGTTTTGCTGTATCCTATTATATACACAAAATTAACCAGAGGGGAAAAGTATGGTAATATGTGTCAACTTACTGTTTTGTTGGGTTTTTACATTTATCAGGAGGAGGTATATTAGTTGATGAATTGGGTAGGGAGGGAAGAAGTGATTTAAATGGATATACTGGAAGCCAGGAGGTAAGTTCTGGTTCTGGATCTGTCACTAAATGAATTAGGAAATACTCCAACATTTCCTAGCTTCAACTTAGAGTTCTGTAAAATGCGAGTTGGAAGTGGATGCTGTCTGAACTGATCATTCAGGTTTCAGGGTTTTCAAAGGAACTGGGTTTGGGAAATAGTATATAACAACGTGGGAGCAGAGAACCTTGGTCTTAAAAGGAGCACGGAGAGTTGGGACGACTGCGCTCACAACCACACTCATCCCCCTTCTCTTCAATCTCTGACTCCTCTTGCATAGTTACCTCCTAGACATTCCTTACGTCGGGACCATGCAAGCAACTACCCCGTAGGATGGGGACAATAGGGTTTGTGTCACCTACTGTGACGCCTACGTGATGTTTAATTCCACGTCACAATGTGCCGGGGAGCCTCCACCTAGGACACTCCGCTTTCTGCCAGAAACGCCCTCGGAGGCTGCGGTGGTCTGGATGGCGCACCTTTGCGCGTGTCCTCTGCGGCGAGAGAAGGGCTTCATTCTGGATGGGGTGGCCGTGAGCACCGTGGCCCGCTCCTACGAGCACCTGAGGCCCAAGCTCTGGTCCGCGATTCCGCCCTACAACGCGCAACAGGACCAACACTCCCGACGGTACTTCCGGAGCCGCGTGGTTCCGCCCATCCTGCAGAAGACTGATCAGGTACCCGAGCCCCGCGTAGAACCCGGCTATCTGCGCCCGCAGAGCTTGGCCCAGGTGGCCGGCTGGCTTCCCAGATCCGGGCGTCTGATGCTAGCGCCCTCACCACCACGGAGGCTGCCCGATTTGCACTCTCAGCTTTCTGGATGAAACTCCAGAATTGCTGGAGGCAGGCGACAGGTGTTGAGCGCGAACTTACTGAGCTCACCTTCCATGCCTGAATTTGAGAATGATCTCATTTCAAATCTCTGCAAGCCTCTGCCAAAGAAATTGGGTTCTTTGTCCTTTTTGGCGTCACGGATTCACCCTTGGGGTGATCTCCCGCCGCAAATTCTCAAAGCCCGACCCTCAGAGAACAAGACAAAGAATTGCCGAGGCCCACTAGGCGAGGTGCCCTCGGTTCGGTGATGTAATATGACCTTCTTTGAACAGTCTGGAAGGAAACCTCCCAACTTACCCAGCCCTCGCTTCTACTCAGTTGCACATTCCCCCTTACGGGGATCAAAGATTCTGAGACTATTACAGGCTGACGGCTCCAATTTTTTTCAACACTTTTGCTTCCAGTATTTGTCACTATTAATACATGTCAGTGATATGGGGAGAAGAGGACTGAATGCGGGTTATTCTGTAAACACATCTTGGGGTTTCAGTGGTCCCAGGTGATTGCGTGTGCGCATGTGTGTTCAGCACAGGCATACGGACCCACATCGGTGCCATATTTGGGTGTGTTCGCTGGCTACTCATGTAATATTTATAACAGAAGGAAACAGAATCTGGGGGAAAACTCCAGAACTTAAAAGTTCGAAAAATAATATTATGTACACACTTTTGAAACTTTCTATGTTCCATTTTGTAAGTTTTCTTTAATAGTCACAACCACCGTTTGCAGTAGGTACTATTTTCATTTAAATGAAGATCGTGTTTACTGAAATTTGCCAGACCCTTTATTTGAGGCCCGTTTATGTCTCACTTCAACCTCAAAGTACTGTTGAGGAAACTGAGCTCCAAAAAAGCTGTGTCTTTGACCTAAGGTCTTGTTAGGGGCAGAAGTGGAAATAGAACCAGTCTTCCCTGATAGTTTATTTTGAATTAATTTTTTTTCATTTATTTTCATTAGTTGGAGGCCAATCACTCCGCATTCCCTAATAGTTCAGACGGTTAAGAATCTGCCTGTGATGTGGGAGACCTGGGTTCAATCCCTGGGTTGGGAAGACCCCTGGAGAAGGGAATGGCTACGGCCCTCCAGTATTCTTGCCTGGAGAATTTCATGGATAGAGGAGCCTGGCAGGCTACAGGCTATGGGGTCCTGAAGAGTTGGATAGGAATGAGGGACTAACACTTTCACTTTCTCTGGCATTAGACACTGAGCTTGTACCAAACTACAATGCATCTCGCTGAAAGGCTAAGTATATTTAATCTGTCTGGCCCTCTTACCCCTGGGCTGTGACCTCTCCCTCCCCCAACAAGCCAGGAGGCAGGGCTTGGACTGGGCTTTTTTCGGCATCACAGCTGACAGTCTTTTGCATTTTCTCTCACTCTCAGGATCACGGAGGCACAGGAAGGGATGGCTGGATAGTGGATTATTTCCACATCTTCGGGCAAGGACAGAGATACCTCAACAGGAGAAACTGGGCAGGGGCAGGCAAGTGCCACCTCCCTTTCCAATCTCATCATGATCTCACCTGGGAAGAGTGGTGTGCCTTCCCCAGTGAGAGAAACTGGGTCCTAAAGGGACCTGGAAGGGAAAGAGACCTAGCGACTGACTGCATCCTCCAGTTTTCTTCTTATGCATGAGTAGATGGTGTTACAGTGCTCCCTAATAGTTAGTTATTGAGCACCCACTTGTCAGGTGCTTTTTATCCTCAGAATATCAAGTTACAGCCAGGGAAATTGAGTTTTAGAGAGGTAAAATGATTTGTTAAGAAGGGTTGGAATTCCCTGGTGGCTCAGTGGTAAAGAATCTGCCTGCCAATACAGGACACATGAGTTCAATCCCTGCATTGGGAAGATCCCCTGGAGGAGGAAATGGCAACCCACTCCAGTAATTTTGCCTGGGAAATCCCATGGACAGAGGAGCCTGGCAGGCTATAGTCTATGGGATCACAAGGGTCAGCCATGACTTAGCACCTAAACCACCACCATCACCAAGAAGGGCTGAGCTGAGAGTGAAATTACACTGTTTCCAAGGAAAGCCTGTGTTCTCATTGCTCCCAGAGCAGACTGTGTCCTGCTCACTCTCCAGGCCCAATTTAGCAGCAGTAGGAAAAGGGAGCTGTTTTTCTGGCAGGGTGAGACCTCCTCCTACCCCACCTAGTCACATGATCCCTCACACCATTGGCCAAACTGAGCTCATCTGTTTTCTCCAGATGGGTCAGATACAAGGGTGAAATCGTCTCAGTTCTCCAGGATACAAGGCAAGTTCAGCCAAGCCCAGAAGTTTCTGGCCCTTCTTGTCCCAGCACATATCATTCACGCTCCCTCTGCATGCTGCCCCTAG